AGTGTCCTGAGTGGAATCCAGTGCTGCCTAAGAGGAAAAGTCAATGTTTGATATTGGTCGTTGAGATTTGTCACATTCCTTCTTACCAAAGGACGGTGGGGTCTCGTGCTGTACGCTGATCATATTGACTGGTAGTACCTTGCTAGTGCAACTCTGGGGTGTCGGACTGCTTGAAAGTAACTTTTCCGGCTACCTGTTGCTGCCAACTGTTGACCGTTTGCCATCATCTGTATTGCTATCACTGGCGTTTTCTCCGATTTTTCGTGAGTTTGCTGCCTGTTTCACAGAGATACAAGGAGCCCCAGCATGTAGACAAATCACTCCAGGTCGGGCGACATCTTCCACATTCATAAGCCTCAATGTGGGGGCCTATATACGAATTTAAGTAAAGAAAAAAATAAATCAAGCTACAGGTCCAGCCATAATCCATTTATATTTGTCTATGGATTTCTTAAGCGGTCTATGTAAAACTGTGTGATCAGGGAAGATAGATTCAAATAATTCAGCGTAAAAATAAGAACGTACTAACACCCAAGCATTTGGGCCATGCCCTTATCAACAATGACTGTTGTTTGTGGGGTTAGGTTCATCCACCTTCCGCCGCCTCCTAAGAAAGGCTTGAAAATATATCATGCGAATATGCCTTACATAATAAGATTGTAATCGGTAGGCTTTATGATTGGCTACTGCTTAACGCAAGGCTTATTTAACTGAGATCACAGTTGCTTAAAGTTTCTTGGATCCTCTTAGGTTTAGCCCCAAATTAAGGGAGAGGGTCGAACTAAGCGTTGATGAGTGAATATAAGGCCTATAGATATCAATTTGAGAAGCCGAGTCCTCATGTTGTAGAGTTCAAGACGAAAAATTGAGGAATAAATTAAATGCAATAATGGAGACAATGAGGCCTACTTTAAGAGTTCCAGATGAGACTGTCGTCTGTCTAGACGAGTCGGTTTGAGGCTGTATGATGATCCTTGTCGGATGCAGAAAGGGAGTATTGGCACTAGTCCTAGCCTCAGTTACACTGGGTCCCTTGTCTTCACAAGCTTTTGCTGTATTTTGTGAAGCAGCATGCTTCTCGGGCGCGTCTTTGTCACCAGAGGACTGACCTTTTGGAACAAAATTAGCTTGCGGGCCTGAGGCGAATGGCACAGCTTGGCCGCGTGTAGCCATCATTTGGCCTTGGAAGCCGCGTATATTGACTCCTGCCAATCGGAGAACCTTGGGAGCATTGGTCTGCACATGGCTTGTGGTGATCAGGGGCAAGGCTGATTCGGAGCCGAGCGACGAAAGAGGCTTGCGATCGGAAGCCGGTACTTCAGCAGGAGAGACCGGGGAGACTGGAGAACCACCCGCCTTGAGAGTTATGCTGGGTTTATCTTCTGTTTTGAAGTCTTTTATTCTTTTTGAAACCTCGTATTCCGTCTTTATTTCTTTGCATGTCGACTTCTGTTCCTCCTTGCTCATTCGACTGTCTTTGTCCACATCATGCTCTGTTCTAATCGGCCGTAGAGTACTCTTCTCATCTTCCTTCCTTCTCTGCTTGGTATCCTGGTGACCAAAATCTACCATTCCCAGCTTTCGAGATTCACTTTTATCCTTCTTTTTGTCGGCATGGGCCACTTTATCATTAACTCCATCCGATTCCGGCCTAGGCTGCACGCTATCCTCACTGGCTCTTCGCACTACATCGGCTGCTTCGGGCAACAGGATGGACGATGTAATTAATGAGTGAGGGCTCGACGGCGGTGTAGAGCGGGCACCAGTTGCTTCAGCGATGTTTCCAGTGTTCGCCACGTCAGCAGACGGAGGTACAGTTGGAGCGGTTCCGGTGCTCCTTTTTGCCTGTTGTAGCTGCTTTTTAGACCGTCGGCGCAGACTGGTCAAGCGCTTCAGCCCAGTAATGGAACTCGACGTGGACACACGGCCACTGAAGCTAGCCAATGAGTCGGGCTGCGAGCTGCTGGAGCCTCCGACGGAGACGCGTTTGGCAACTGTGCTACTGCTGCCTGCAGACCCTGCCCCGCTGCTGATCTTGCGCCATCCGCGAGTTAGCTGTCCAAATGCCCCAGAGGCGGCGCCCCGGGTGAGCGAAGACTGTGAGCCGAATGTCACGGCCTGGCGAAGAAATAGGCTGTTTTGTATAGCACCAGAGGAAGCAGGTAGCACAGAGCCGCTGTCGAGGCCTGCGCCTACTTTTGTGGGTGTCAGGCTCATGCCGACATCTGGGGTCCGCAACGAGGGTGCTTGGGATCCCATGGCAACAGGACTTTGTGGCACGCCCCAGGGACTCGTGGCCAAGTGTGAAAAGGAGGTAGACGTTGACGGAATCTGTGACAGACTGATACGCCCTGGACGGGGGGGTAGGAGGTTTGGGCTCCGTGAATGGCCTGCTAGAAGGCCGGTTGATACGCCGGGCCCTGTAGCTAGGGCCTGCGAGTGCGTCAGAGTAACGCCCATGCGCTGGAGGGCAATGATCGCATTGATGGCTC